TTATCTTTACACCCATTTTTTGAACAATGGTGTGACATTTGTAGTTCTCCAGTCTTCTGATACAACCCTTGAGTCGAGTGATGACTGGAAAATTATGGCCATTGCTTCTGCAGTTTCCATTCTCACTTCCCTCAGTACAATAAGCCCCCATTTAATGTTGATTCACTTAACAGCATTTCATTTTAATATCATAAACGAACATGTTGTTACTATATTATTAGACTTTTAGAGTTTCAGTTTAAATATTTCCTACAGATTTCCTGTGTGATCTGTCTGATTTTATGACCTTTCTCCACCATTCCGCTCCAAGCTCAGTACACCTGGCCTTCCTCCAGTTCTGCATCTGCCCTCAGTGCCTTTTCATGCTTGATGTTCTTAGCTATAAAACTCTCCAGTGTCCAGACCTGCACTGACTAATTATTACCACTGGATGGAGCCTGTTCAATTGAAACTTCATGAGATGAATTTAATTTTAACATTTAGTTTATGACTATTGTATCTATTTATGTTTAAATTGTATTTACTTTTAAAGACTATATTATTGAAGGTAAGGCATTTAAGGATGTACATCATTTCAACATAATGGGTTTGTTTTTGCTTTTTGCTAAGAGGCCCTGACCTACCCATCTGTGCAATGTTTTGATTATATTTACTGAATTATTTTATTTTATCTCGTCTAGATTCACTCATTTCATTCTAGGAGCTCAGGATTTATTTGCTCTACCTTTCCCTTCATAGGAATATACCTTGGCTGTGACCAAATTATCTCCTCTTTAAAGGCAGCCCATTGTTCAGTTTTGCTTGCCATCCTTTAATTTCAATGTACTTTGTCCAGATTCAATCTTGCTCTATTGAATGAAAGCAAAATGTTGCGGATGCTGCAGTTTTGAAATAAAATAGAAAATGCTTGAGAAACTTAGTAGCAAAATCAACTTGGTGTTTTGTGTCCATTGACTCTACTTCCTGGTCTGAAGATGATTCATTGGACTCAGAATGTTAATTCTGTTTCTCTCTCCACAGATGCTGCCAGACCTACTGAGTTTCTCCAGCATTTTGTTTATTTCTTATGTCACCAAAGTTGGCTTTCACCAAGTTAATTATTTTTAGCTGGATTGTTCCTTAACCTTTTCAGTTGCTAGCCTAAACCTTCAGATATAATGCTCACAGTCACCTAAATGTTATCCTACTGATACATGATCCACTTGGTCATGAACGATCATAGAGTCATACAGCACAGAAGCAGACCCTTCAGTCCAACTTGCCAGTGCCGACCAGGTTTCCCAAACTGAACTAGTCCCATTTGCCTGCATTTGGTCCATATCCCTATAAACCTTTCCTATCCATGTACCTGTGCAAATGTCTTTTAAATGTTGTAACTGTACCTGCCTCTCCCACTTGTTCTGTCAGCTCGTTCCATATGCACTACCCTCTATGTGGAAAAAGTTGCCCTTCTGCTCCCTTTTAAATTTTTCCCCCCTCACCTTAAACCTATGCCTTTTAGTATTGAGCTCCCCTAACCTGGGGAAAAGATCTTGGCTATTCACCTTACCTACGCCCCTTGTGACTTTATAAATCTCTATAAGGTCATCCTAAGTCTCCTACCCTCCAGGGAAAAAGTCCTAGCCTATCCAGCCTCTCTTTATAACTCAAACCCTCAGTCTCGGTAACATCCCTGCAAATCTTTTCTGCGGGAGAGTGGGGTGGGGGTGTAAAAGACCCCAAGTGCTGGGAGAGGAGCTGCTGAAGCAGGGTACAAGGATGGCCTGGGAAGTTACACAGAACGTGCTGAGTCACTGCCTCCTCACCAGTTGATGTCTTGGATAAATGTTAAGTTCTGTTGCTGTTTGCCAGAGATGGGTGGTACTTCTGTAGGAAGCACTGCTCGTCCTGGATGATGTCAGCAATACTCTTGCTCACATTAATGTCATGTTGGCAACTGCGAGGCGAGGCAGACAAGAATGGGCAGATTAGTGGGCAGACGGACAGAGAGGGCACGTGGTGCACCTGCCCAAACTGAGAAAGTGAGTGGAGATGGGGTCCTATTAGTGCTTCCTTTGTAGTTCAACAGGAGATATTGTGCTGTTTAAAAAAAAAATAATAATTCTGGGAGCTACAAACATTCCAAGAAATGTGCCTGAGTTCCTTTACCCATTCCTGATTTGTACGGAATAGAAGTCAGAGGAGTTTTATAGATTGTTTTGACTATGATGGGTATACTCTGTCTTTCTCTTGTCTCGCTGCTGCTCAATGAATCACAACATAAGTTTAAAAACATATTTCATTGGTGGTTATTCTTGAAGGCAAGCAGTAAAAAAGGCACAGTATGTTCTGAATTCTGTAGCTCTCATGTTCTTGGGTCTTGGCAGGCAATATTGAACAGTTCTTTCAGTCACCCTTCCAGGAGAATAATTGTGTTTCATCCAGATCTCAGAGCAGAGGTGTTTCAGAAACAGGAGACTCTAGCTGAGCGGCTTTTCTGTAAGAGGCATTCTTCAGCTGAAAAATCCAAACGTAAGCTCCAAGTCTGGGAACATTATTCAAAGAAAACTGCTATACCAAGTTGTAGAACAGTCCCTGAAGTGAATTCAAGTAAACAAGAGACTTGCAATTACCTGGAACTATGTAATTTTCATTAATGCTCTGATTAAAAAATAAATCTAGGTACCTCCAAAATCCTTAAGACTCAAGTGTACAAAATTGTTAACTATGAAGCATCTTCATAACAAGGAGTTAACTTAAGACCATAAGACCTTTTTGTTGGGAAGTTGATGCACTGGATTAACTCTATGTTAAACATCTGGAGTGAGTGATGTTGTTGGACTTTGCATCATAGTGTCCTGGAACCATGCTTACCATTGAGTGGGCTAATCTATTTAATGTTAACTCATATCTAAATTGTGTTCAATAACTTGGCGAAACTCACTTTAGTAGATAAGAAAAAATTGCTTTATATTTGCTGTCTATGTCTGGATTAATGTCACCCTTTCTGAGTGATTGTCACCTAATGCAAATACATGTGTCTTGTAAGAGAAACAGAAATCATTTACAAATATTCAGCAAGCCAGGCAACATCTATTGAGTACAGGACCAAAAAAAAACTGACTGACTTTGTGTTATCTGTTCTGAAGCTCCCTGATCTAATCAGTGTATCCAGTAATTTTGATCCAGTTTTTCAGCATCTGTAATATTCTTTGTTGTGTCTTTTTGCTCTCCATAATGTCTGACCATGAGAGAGCATGGAGATTCTCACTATCTTCTGTGCTAGTGTGGATAAACTGTTTCCTGAAATAACTCCACGGAGGCTGGTATCCAGTCACCAAGTCACGCTTTATTTACATATGGAGAGTCCTTGACACTGATCCAGCTCCCTCAGAGTGAGCAGTACTCCTGACACTTGTTTATATCTGTCAGCCAGGGTCCCTTATTAGCCCAGATTAACAGCCCCAATCAGGGAACCCATATTCTGTGAGGTCTGCCTGGCTGACCTCATTACAATCATTGTAGTTCCCATCTTGCAGACGAGTGGTGTTTTCTGCAGTTATGGTCTAAGGGCTATGATGTACATCAGACTATGATGTCAGTCTATTCCAGCATTCTTAGACTTTTGTATTTTTTAACTTCACTCCCAATAGTCTTATTGGTGGACCACTTTTTTTAATTCTTCTATTCTGTTAACTTCTTCAGACTCGGTTCACTTGACCTTTCTAGATTCCGTGTCTCCATTCTTCCAGGAAATTCACACTGATGATATCTCAGGGGAATTTGGAATTGTTGATTTTTTTCTTTTTGGAATTTGCGTGTTCGATGGTTTTGCTGAGAATGAGTTTTGCTTTAGGAAGAGTTGGGAGGACCTTGCTTCCTAAACTTGGTTTGAATGTGAATTTGATGATTAGGATCTTTCCATGAAAGTACTGAATTGGAAGTATTGTGAGCCAGGTCAAAAAACTCTTGTTTGGACTGGAGGCTGTATCATGGTAATGACTTAGTAGATTTGAAGGATGTGCCCTGCGAATAAAAACAGTATAAATTAAACAAACGTGTGTATTTTGCACAGTTTACACATTGTTGATAATTGAACTGATTATTCTGTACATTTGAGGTTACCTCATTATAAATCCTGGGTAGAGAGTATAATTTAATTGTTAACATATTCTAAAACTATATGCTGAAGATGAAAACAAATCTATTCTATTAATTTGATTAAAAGATTGGGTTCTTTTCAGTCTACCTCCAGATGGTTGCCTGAATTATTTTGTTTGCTGTGTTAGATTGTGTTTTCTGACTCAAATTTCTTGTCCTTTCTAATTGAGGAACATTAACAATCTACCACACAAATTGCCGCAGTTCAATAAAATCTTGTCTTGTCCTTTTAGAATGAGCCTTCCTCATGATTGTGGGTCATCATCTTTGACATTCTGTCTATCAAAAATTAGATTTGTAACTTCTAATACTTCTACTATGTAAGAGAAATGTTGTGACTGAGACTGAGATATAACAATAGATGAATTGTTAGAGTATTTTTATTCCTGTTTGACCACTAGAATATATATATATATTCCCAATTTGTCTTCCATAACACAGAGGTTGATGATATTTGAATGTTTATTTCTCCATGAGCCTGGATCAGTATATTTACAATAAACCATATGAAACCACACTGTAAATTATATCAATTGCTATTTTCTAATGCAGATAACTGATACAGATGCTGTAATAATTTCATGGCTGATATAACTACTTAGAAGGAAGTTATTGTAACAGTAAAATAGTTGTGCTTGCTCAAGGACTGTTGTACCACAGCACTTATTAGGTGCCTCAGAACACATACAAAACTGCAGTCTGAAATTAGTAAGTCATAGTGTCAGAATTTAATTGACTAGATAAATTCCTTGATAAAGATATTTGACTTCGAGAGTAACACACAATATACATGCAGCCAAGTGAGATTTCACTGTGTATTGAAATAACGGGTCAGATGACAAATGAACTGTCTGTTTTAGGTGAGGAAGAATTCTCATTTGGGTATGGAGGGACTGCAAAGAAGTCAACAAGCTGCAAGTTTCAGGACTATGGAGAGCGATTTTCTGAAAATGATGTGTTGGGATGTCTAATTGTAAGTAATACAAATTTACTCTGAATTATGATAGTCCTTTTCCATTCTAGACCAGATGCGTTTTTTTGTGTTTTATACATCCTAATGTAAATTTGAAACATTTTATTGGGCATTGTAAATTTATATTTCGAGATTCTCTAGAATGTTGATCTTCGAACTGATCAGGCTCTTGATTGGAAATGTTCTGTCGGAGCTTCGATTTGATGCATGGTTTTGATTTAGTTTTCAGACTGGTAGGACAGGTAGAATGGGATTTAACAGTCATACTTGGTCTCAACTTGTTATCTCCTGTAGAGCAGTGCCATGAAAAGAAATGAACATGATATGCAATGTGCAAACAACAAATTCTACTTTAATGTTTTAACTGCAGTCTTTGTTTTGTTCTCCTGCAGAGAGGCTGTGGTTGCTGTTGTTGTAACCATTGGTTATCCACATGAAACAGAAGTCTATACTTGCCACAGCTTAAAAGTAATTTGTTACTGGCTGGATTTCTGTTATGCTGAAATCTCTTGGGTGTAGGTTAGACAATCAGGAGTGAAACTGGGAATTATATCAACATATACCAACTTTGTTGGAAAAGATACAGGAGATTGATAGGTGGAAAATTTGCTCTGCCTCTCATGTTTGAACCCCTTGGCCAAATATTTCATTGCTAAATCTTTCATTTTTTTCTTATCCATCGTACCTGTAGAATTTTGAAGCTGGGGAAGATGTGGAGATGTCCTTTACAAAGAATGGAAGGTGGCTTGGTGTGGCATTCAGGGTCAAGAAAATGGCGCTTGGTGGGCGACCCTTGTTTCCACATGTGCTGTCAAAGAACTGTGCCATTGAGTTCAACTTTGGGCAGAAGGAACCATGGTACAGACTTCCTGATGGCTTCACATACATTCAACATGTACCTGTAGATGAGCGTATACCAGGTACAGCAGGACCAAAGACCAAGTCAGAGTGTGAGGTGGGTGTGTAGATTTTAGTTGAAGCAATTAATGTGATTATAAAATCAGGACTGTCTATCTCAGGAAAATCTTTTCCATGTACCACACTGCTGTTAATTTTTTAGGATGAATTTTCTACATGGTTTACTATTAATTTTCCCCGTGGTCTCTGAATTTATTTGACTTTAATGAAATAAGTCAATTCAAAATACTTTTGAATATAGAATTTTCCAAAGCTTGGTTTTGGGATAGAGATCTTTTCTTGAACCTGTCAAAGATCATAGTTCTGCGATGGCAAACCTTGCAAAGTGTCCAAAAGGTGGGTTGTTGAGATTTAGGAATTTGATGTGTTCGTCACAAGTCCTGTATTGTCCTGGTCCTTTTGTGAAAAACGCAATGTGAAAGGCTGGGGACAGCTGTGACAAAATACCTTGTTCTTTGTAATTCCACTCCTGCAGTCTATGCCTATTACTTCAATTGGTGCTTCCCAGCCTTTTCCTCTTGAGGCTTAGAAATGTTCACATTGCCTCTCCTCAACGCTAGGCGAAGTAGGAGAGCCCCGAGAGCAGAAACCTGTTAGAATGGGAGCACAACCTTTGTAACTTGGTCAGAGCTCATGGCAGCCATTTGCTGCCTCAGAATCCAAAGCCAGCTCATAACTCCAGTTGGGGTTCTGACTCCCACTTTGGGAAGCCCCAGCTTTTGCAATTCAAGCTTGGAATAAAACTGCAAAACAATTCTTTGTTTATCAATGTTATATTTGAAAGAGGTTTGATTTATTAAATAGGTGAGTACAGTATATTTTCTTGAAATTTTTGGGATGTTGATGGGTGCATGGACTTAGTGCAATGGGTAGGGTAAAAGAAGGACAGGAAGGCAATCAGCTACAATTGCTGATTTGAGGAATAATGAATAACCCTTTGTGGCTTTTCCAAATGAGAGCCTGGGGTCACTCATTTAGTTTCAAACTCATTTAGTTCTCCCTATCACAGAATAGATGGGGAGCAGTGTGGCTACATTGGCTGAAGTTGGCCATTGTTCAGACAGAAGGGATAAAATGCATAAGAGGAACCGCTAACTCGTGAGGTCTGTAATACTGGAACAGATTGTGAGAGGCTGCTAATTTAACCACAGGATGATGATTTTGACTGAGTCACTGGGGTTCAAAGCCATTTCAGGCTGGGTGGGTGAGTGAGGTGTATGAGGAAGAAGATATAGCACATGGATAAGTGTATCCATGCGCAGATTTTTAGGAAAGGTGGAGGATAGAAGATCAACAAAGAGAGTTTTTTTAAATGTATGCAATCTTAGAGGAGGTGACAAAGCCAGGGATCGGAGTTTCATTGACAGATGGACCAGAATAGGGATGGAAATTTTTTTTAATTCACAGATGGGATTCAAGTGTCATTGGCTATTGCCAGCATTTATTGCACAACTCAGTTGTCCTGCACAAGTTGCTGGTAAGCTATCTTCTTGAACGACTAGTGTGGCATCAAAGAGCCCTAACAAAATTGGAGTCCATGAGAACCGAGGAAGAATTCTCCACTGGTTGGAGTCATACCTGGCACAAAGGAGGATGGTTGAGATTGTTGGAGGTCTGTAATCTCAGGGCAAGACATCTGTGCAGGAATTCCTGAAGGTAGTGTCTTTGGCCCAGGTGTCTTCAGGTGCTTCGATAATGACCTTCCTTCCATCATAAGGTCAAAAGTGGGGATATTTGCTGATGATTGCACAATGCCCCGCATTATTTCGAACTCTTTAGATACCAAAGCAATCAGTGTCCAAATTAGCAACACCTGGACAATATCCAGACATGGGCTGAGAAGTGGCAAGTAACATTTGTGCCATACAAATGCCAAGCAATGACCATCTCCAAAAAGAGGTAATCTAATTATCATCCCCCACTATCAACATCCTGAGGGTTACCATTGACCAGAAGCTGAACTGGACGAGCTATATAAATAAAGTGGCTACAAGAGCAGGTCAGAGACTAGCAATCCTGCAGCAAGTAACTCGCCTCTTGACTTTTCAAAGCCTGTCCAAAATTACAAGGCACAAGTCAAGAGACTGATGAAGTACTCTCCACTTAACTAGATGAGCGCAGCATCAACAACACTCAAGGGGTGGCACGGTGGCTCAGTTAACATTGAGCACTGCTGCCTCACAGCGCCAGGGATCCGGGTTCGATTCCACCCTTGGGCGACTGTCTGTGTGGAGTTTGCACATTCTCCCTATGTCTGCGTGGGTTTCCTCTGGGTCCTCCAGCTTCCTCCCACAGTCCAAAGATGTGCAGTCTAGGATTGGCCATGCTAAATTGCCCATAGTGTTCAGGGATGTGTAGCTTAGGTGGATTATAGGGGGATGGGTCTGGGTGGGATGCTTTGAGGGTCGGTGTGGACTTGTTGGGCCAAAGGGCCTGTTTCCACAGTGTAGGGATTCTGTAAAGCTTGACACCAAATGTGAACATTCACTCCCTCCGCTACCCACAGTCAGTAGTAGCAGTGCGTACCTGCATTGTGGATCTTCCTATACCACATGGACTGCAGTATCTCAAGAAGGCAGCTCCCCATCCTGTTCTCAAGGGCCAGTAGGGTTGACAACAAATGCTGGCCCAGCTAGTAATTCCCACATCTTACAAAGAAAAATATCAAAATGTCTTTAGCATGTAGATGCACCTACGGTACTGTTTAGAAGGGTTTTCCAGGATTTTGATTCGAAGATGGTGAAGGAATGACAGTCTAGCTGCAAGACAAGAACGTGTGTGACTTGGAGGGGCACTTGCAGGTGGTAGTGTTCTTGTGCATCTCTTGCACTTGTCCTTCTAGATGGTAGAGATTATAGATTCGGATGGTGCTGTTGCAGATGCTTTGGTGCAGTGCATCTCGAATATGGTACATCTTGAAAATGATCTTGAGATGTGTGAGCAGCCACAGTATGTAATCATGCAGAGGGCAGTAAAGGGCCAGCTGTGTTATCAAAATCAGAGGGAGATTTGCCTTAATGAGGTTTGTAATTTGTCAGTGGTGAAGAGCGTGAATGTTGAAGGTGGTGGATGATCACTGAAAACAGCTCAGCCGTCATTGAAAAGCAGTTTTGGAGACACAGTTTAGTTGGACAGAAACAGGGGCAGCTCTCTGTCTGAAGTGCTGACTTTTATCTGTTCTGCATGGAAATAAGTTGAGAGCAGTTAACTATGTCATCAAGCCCTTGGGAACTGAGAAACTAGGGAGGTCACTGACTCTGTTATGAGACACATGTGTTGCGGAGCTAGGAAGCCTTAGGAGCGTTGATATTTCAGTGCAGCTGAGAGTGGGGGTGTTGGAAAACCCTTAAGAGTATTTTCTTTGTACAACTGATCAATATTAGAGTTCAGAGAACAGAACAGAACAGAATCCTACAGGGTGGAAACAGGCCATTCGGCTCAACTGGTCCACAGCAACCTTTCAAAGGATTGTGTAATTGATGTCAGGGTGAATTTCTGAGGAATCCATGGAATATGTCCAAATTGTATTTGCTGTTTGATGTGCTTAGGGGTTTCTGATTACAATATGTTATTTCATGTTAATTCTGGATGCTAGAAATAAATTATACACACATTGTAGATTTTATTACCATTCTAACTTGTAAAGCATTGTTTGTACAACACTGTGGAATCATGTGGCTTCATTCCCTTAGTCTCCTCCCCTGGATCTCACCTTTCGTATATTTTAAAACGAAAAGTTTCTGGTCCCTAAATAAATCATAGCATTATATGATGATCTCATCTAGGATCATAATAGGATACTGAGCTGTATGAGTAGCCATGATATATAATCCTGCAGAGGGCAGTAAAGGGCCAGCTGTGTTTTCAGAATCAGAGGGAGATTTGCCTTTGGGAGGTCTGTAATGCACCAGATTGACTGTGACTTGAACAGACAGATTTGGGACAGCATTGCTTACTTTCTGCTTCAAAATAAGATTCTCAAAGAAGCCAATTCAGAGCAGCGAGCACTAGAACTTAATGCGATTCTGACCTACTGTACAACCTGGATATTCATCATTCCACAGTTGGTGACCTTGTCTTTAGCTGCCTAGACCCTATGCTCTAGAACTCCCACCCCAACCTGTGCAGATTTCTTTGAGACCTCTTAAAGCCAATCTTTTGGTGAAACTTTTGATCATCTGTTCTGATTTCTGCTTTGTTATCAAATAAAATATGATATCACCCTGTGAAGCACTGTGAGATGTTTTACTAAATTAAAGATGCGACTAGAAATACAAGATTCTACAAGCTAAACACAAGTTGTTGCAAGGTGATTGATTTTATTAAAGAGGACTGTCCTATATATATATACTGTAGTTGGGAGGAAGGGAATTAGAGAAAATGATGACACAGTTCCTTGAGGAGATTTGCTCATGAGGCATTTTCTTTAGATCCTGATGATGGTTGGCCTTCCTGCAGCTGGGAAGACAACATGGGCTATTACGCATGCAGCTCGCCACCCTTGGAAGAAATACAACATCCTTGGAACAAATGCCATCATGGACAAGATGAAGGTAGGTACAGTGCATGCTGTACAACTGATTTCTTATGTTTGTACCTGAACCTGTAAGTAGCTTGAAGGTGCTCATCTGTTTCCTTATTTGACTTGATCTCAGTTGTAAAGTGCCCCGATAATATGGTAAGCATGGGATCAGTATATGACAAGTTCGCCATTGAAAGAGTAAACAAATGAACATAGAGTGAAAACTGGTGACCGCGAGCAGGTTTTGTTGACCTAGTAATATTTCTATAGACTGACGACATTTTGTTTTCACTGTTGTGACAATACTGTACCTTTAAGCGATATATTCTGTCCTGTTTCCCTTGCAGAGGGGTGTTGTTGCAGTGGTACCAAAAGCTTCCTTCAGACAGGCAGTATGTAAGCAGCTTTGAGTTCTCCCTGGGTGAATGGGTGGGGTCAGGCTCTCACAGACCGAGAAGACTTTAGTTTTGCTTTCAGTTAGTTGGTAGTTTTTGCTGGCTGCTGGAGCTGAAAGCTTAAGTTCTCTACTGTTGGAGTGAAGTCTTAGACAGAGAGGCTTCCTCTTAAAAATTAAAAGGCGAAAATTGTTTCTTTCGCTGTATCTTTCTACTGGATTAGAGACAGACAACACACGAGAATGATAACTGTGTTGCAGAATTGTGGAGTGTTAAAGTGGATAAGTCCCTAGGACCCGTTGGTATCCACCCCAGGTTAATGAGAGAGGCAAAAGAGGAGATTGCTGGGGCCTTAATCAAGATCTTTGTATCCTCACTAGCCACTGGAGAGGACCCGGAGGACTGGCGAGTAGCTAATGTTGTTCCTCTGTTCAAGAAGGGAAATAGGAATAGTCCAGGAAATGACAGACGGTGAGTCTCGCATTGGTGGTTGGAAAGCTATTGGAGAGAATTCTCAGAGATAGGATTTACGCACATTTGGAAAAGCATGGCCTAATTAGGGACATTAGGTAGAGCAGTGGATGTTGTTTATATGGGATTTTAGTAAGGCTTTCGACAAGGTATCTCATGGTAGGCTCATCCAGAAGATTAAATGTATGGGATCCACGGTGACTTGGTTGCTTGGATTCAGAATTGGCTTGTCCCTAGAAGACAGAGGGTAGTGGTGGAAGATAACACAGTGTGGAGCTGGAGGGACACACCAGGCCAGGCAGCATCAGAGGAGCAGGAAAGCTGATGTTTCAGGTCGGGACCCTTCTTCAGAAATAGTAGAAGGTTGTTTTCAGGCTGAAGGTCCGTGACTAGTGGTGGTCTGCAGGGATCCGTACTGGGACCTCTGCTGTTTGATAGTGTAGAAGATTGTGAAAAGATACAGTGGGATATAGATCAGTTGCAGATACAGCAGGTTCTGCTATAATGCATGTTCTGGCAATGCGAATTGGCTATAATGCAACTCACAAATAGGGGAATGCTATTTCTAAAATGCGAACTTGTGTTGGCAATAATGCAATTCCATCGATTCCAACCTCTCTCCTTCAGCCCATGTACCAGGGTGCAATTGCAGCTTTTAAAGCTTATTATTTGAGGCGCACATTTAAGAGGCTGATTGCAGCCATCGAGTGGGATAAGGACAGTGTTCTTCAATTTTGGAAAAGCGTAAAATCAAGAATTCAACTGACAGTATTGTGGAGGCCTGGTGTGATGCCAGTAAGAACTGTTTGCATGCAGCTTGGCGGAAGCTTCTCCCAGATTTTTTTTTTCAAGATTTTAAAACCTTTCATCCATCAGAGGAGCACCCAAGAATCAAAGAACATTGTGTTGATCTTGCAAAGCAAGGTTTTGAAGAAGTGGAGAGTGAGAATATTGAAGAGCTGCTTGAGTCCCACTGTGAAGACCTCTCTACAGCTGATCTACAACAACTTGTCGCTGAGGAGGAAGTGGAAGCTGAAGATGAAGAAGATGAAGTCCAGGATGCAGCACCATGAGAGCTTTCTACTTCTGTTTTGTCTTCTGTCCTGAGGGAAATTGAGAAGCAGTTGCAGCTCTTAGAGGACAACGATTACAATGCAGAATGCAATAGTGTAGCAGTTTGTGGAATAAGATCTTACTTGGCACGCTATGAAAGAAGAAAAAGGGCAATGCAGCAAAAACTGGATGTCTTTTTTAAGCCAATCCCCAAGAAACATTCAGAAGACAATGAATCACAGCTATCCAATTCTGGATTAACTATTTTTTCACCCTAACCCTGCAACCACAGCTGCACCTGAAGAAGATGATAATGGTGACCCTCATCTCCTGCATTAGCAACAGAGCAACCTCAAAAGCTCCACCCCTGTAAAGTCATCTTGACATATTTTCAAGATAAGGTGTTAAATTTACTTTTATTACATTATTACATAAGAATCAAACATTTATTCAAACTGTGCTATCCTTTGTGTTAGGCTTTTAAGTGATTTTTGAGCGCTTTTTTGGTGGTCTGCCCCAACCCCGCTTTTTCCATATACCCCATTATTTCTATAGCATGATTTTCTATAACACGATGTTGCGCAGGAACACAATTAGAGTGTTATAACAGAACCCCCTGTATGGGCAGGGGCGAAGAAATGGCAGATGGAGTTTAATCTGGGTAAGTGTGAGTTGCTGCATTTTGGGAGATCAAATGTTAAGGAAAGTATACAGTTAATAGCAGTACTTTAAACAGCATTGATGTAGAGAAGGATCTTGGGGTTCAAGTCCACAGCGCCCTGCAAGTGGCCACGCACGTAGACAGGGTGTAAAGAAGGTGTGTGGCATGCTTGCCTTTATTGATCGGGGAATTGAGTACAAGAGTCGGGATGTTGTGTTGCAGCTTTATAAGACTTTGGTTGGGGCACACTTACAGTATTGTGTTCAATTCTGGTTGCCACATTACAGGAAGGATGTGAAGGCTTTAGAGACATGCAGAAGAAGTTTACCAGGATGCCACCTGGATTAGAGGGTATGAGCTATAAGGAGAGGATAGAAAACCTCGCGTTGTTTTCTCTGGAGTGGTAGTTGCTGAGGGGAGACTTGATAAAAGTCTATAAAGTTATGAGATGCTTAGGTAGGGTTGACAGTCAGAATCTCTTTCTCCAGAGTTGAAATGTACAACACTAGGGGGCGTGCAATTACGGTTAAAGGGGGAAAGTTCAAAGGAGACGTGAGGGGCAAGTTTTTTTTACACAGTGTGGTAGGCGTCTGGAACGCACTGCCAGGGGTGATGGTGGAGGCAGTTGCAGTAAGGGCATTTAAGGGACTTTACAGGACTTTACGATAAGCACATGAATATGCAAGGAACGGAGGGATATGGACCAAGGGCAGGCAGAAGGGATAAGTTTCATTTGGCATCATGTTCGGCTCAACATCATGGTCTGAAAGACACGTTCCTGTGCTGTACAGTTCTATGTTCTATCTGTAAGAATAATAGGTGGTTATGTTTGGGGATTTTAACTTCCAAACATAGACTGGGACTGCCATAGTGTTAAGGGCTTGGTTGGAGAGGAATTTGTAAAGTGTGTACAAGAAAATTTTCTGATTCAGTATGTAGATATACCTACTAGAGAAGGTGCAAAACCTGACCCACTCTTGGGAAATAAGGCAGGTCAGGTGACTGAGCTGTCAATGGGGGAGCACTTTGGGGCCAGTGACCATAATTCTATTAGTTTCAAAATAGTGATGGAAAAAGGTAGACCGGATTTAAGAGTTAAAGTTCTAAATTGGAGGAAGGCCAATTATGACAGTATTAGAGGAGAACTTTCAAAAGTTGATTGGGAGTGGATGTTCACGGGTGACGGGATGGCTGGACAATGGAAAGTCTTCAAAAATGAGGTAACAAGAGTTCAGAGATGGTATGTTCCTGTTAGGGTGAAGGGCCAAGGTTGGTGGTGTAGGGAATGCTGGATGACTAGAGAAATTGAGGTGTTGGTTAAGAATAAGAAGAAAGCATATGTCAGGTATAGACATCAAAGATCGAGTGAATCCCTAGAAGAGTATAAAGGGAGTAGGAGTATACTTAAGAGGGAAATCAGGAGGGCAAAAATGGGACATGAGATGGCTTTGGCAAATAGGGTTAAGGAGATTCCAAAGGGATTCTACAAATACACTAAGGACAAAAGGGTAACTAGGGAGAGAAAGGACCCCTTAAAGACCAGCAAGGCCGCCTGTGTGTAGAATTGCAGGAGATGGGGGAGATACTAAACAAGTATTTTGCGTCAGTGTTTACTGTGGAAAAGGATATGGAAGATAGAGAACATGGGAAAAAATGAAAATGTCCATGTTACAATAGGAGGAGGTGCTGGATGTCTTAAATGCATAAAGGTGAATAAATCCCCAGGATCTGATCAGGTGTACCCTAGAACTCTGTGAGGAGCTAGGAAGGTGATTGCTGGGCCATTTGCCGAAATATTTGTATCATTGATAACCACAGGTGAGGTGCCGGAAGACTGGAGGTTGGCAAGCGTGGTGCCACTATTTAAGAATGGTGGTAAGCAAAAGCCAGGGATCTGTAGACCGGTGAGCCTGACATCGGTGGTGGGCAAGTTGTTGGAAGGAAACCTGAGGGACAGGATTTACATGTATTTGGAAAGGCAAGGACTGATTAGGGATAGTCAACATGGCTTTGTGCGTGGGAAATCGTGTCTCATTAACTTTGATTGAGTTCTTTGAAGAAGTAACAGAGAATTGATGAGGGCAGAGCAGTGGACTGATCTATATGGACTACTGTAAAGAGTTCAATAGATTCCTTACGGTAGACTGGTAAGCAAGATTAGATCACATGGAAAACAAGGAGATCTAACCATTTGGATACAGATCTGGCTCGAGGATAGAAGACCGAGGGTGGTGATGGAGGGTTGCTTTTCAGACTAGAGGCCTGTGACCAGCAGTGTGCCACAAGGATCGGTGCTGGGTCCACTGCTTCTTGTCATTTATAAAAATGATTTGGATGTGAACTTAGGAGGTATGGTTAGTAAGTTTGCAGGTGACCCCAAAAAGTGTAGTGGACAGCGAAGAAGGTTACTTGCTTAATAAGCCACCAAGTACAAAATGTAATGTGTCTAACCATAAAATATACGTGAAATAGTTACCATCTCCCTATTGTCAAAAAGCAGGATTGTAAAGCGGACCAAGTACAAGGGCTGTTGGTGAGTTTCAAAAAGAGAATTGAACCCTAGCTAATTGGCTCTGTAGTTCTTAAATCATTTTGATACAAATTGGGTTATTCTCAACAATTCTAAGCTACTGGGCGCTCATTAGGAACCAGTGCTTACTCCGATCTAAAGAGTCCAGTTCTTTTAACAGTTGGCATCTCTGCCATTTTCACAGGTGATGGGTCTTCGCCGTCAGCGCAATTATGCAGGCCGTTGGGACGTCCTAATCCAGCAGGCTACTCAGTGCTTGAATCGCCTCATCCAGATTGCTGCTCGCAAGAAACGCAACTACATACTTGACCAGGTACTGTTGTGTTTCCGTGCTTTATTACTACATTAGATAAGCTAGCTTCATTTTATTTGTTTACAACAACAAATTAATGATACATTTATTCATCAAATTAAAGGTCTTTTAATATTGTTTAAAAATTGTAAAT